GTTGAGTGGTAATGACTTTTGAATTGGAAGGGGGCAGAGGGGGGACATATGACAGTTGATTTGTGCTGACCTTTTAGGGAGGAGGGTGTGGAGGGGAACATATGACAGTTGAGTGATGCTGACCTTTGAGGGAGAAGGGGGTAGATATCGGGATGTCTGACAGTTGAGTGGTGCTGACCTTTGATTGAGAAGGGGGTAGAGGGAGGCATATGATAGTTGAGTGGTGGTAACCCTTGATTGAGTTGAGAAGGGGGCAGAGGGGGCATATGACAGTTGAGTGATGCTGCCTTTGATTGATAAGGGGTAGAGGGGGGCATATGACAGTTGAGTGGTAATGACTTTTGAATTGGAAGGGGGCAGAGGGGGGACATATGACAGTTGATTTGTGCTGACCTTTTAGGGAGGAGGGTGTGGAGGGGCACATATGACAGTTGAGTGGTTTTGACCTTTGAGGGAGCAGGGGGTAGAGGAGGGACACATGACAGTTGAGTGATGTTGATCTTTGAGGGAGAAGGAGGTAGAGGGGGGACATATGACAGTTGAGTGGTGCTGATATTTGAGGGAGTAGGGGGCGGAGGGGGACACAAGACAATTGAGTGATGCTGACCTTGCATTGAGAAGGGGTTAGAGAGGGGCATATGACAGTTGAGTGATGCTGACCTTAGAGAGAGAAGGGGGTAGAGGGGGGACATAGGACAGTTGAGTGGTGTTGATCTTTGATTGAGAAGGGGCGTGGAGGGGGGTGTATAACAGTTGAGTGATGCTGACCTTTGAGAGAGGAGGGGGCGGAGGGGGACACAAGACAATTGAGTGATGCTGACCTTGCATTGAGAAGGGGTTAGAGAGGGGCATATGACTGTTGACTGGTACTTACCTTTGATTGAGAAGGGGTAGAGGGGGGACATAGAACAGTTGAGTGTTGTTGACCTTTGATTGAGAAGGGTCGTAGAGGTGGACATCGGACAGTTGAGTGGTGTTGACCGTTGATTGAGAAGGGGCGTAGAGGGGTGCGTTTAACAGTTGAGTGATGCTGACCTTTGAGAGAGAAGGGGGTAGACGGGGACACATGACAGTTGACTGGTACTTACCTTTGATTGAGAAGGGGGTAGAGTGGTGACATAGGACAGTTGAGTTATGCTGGCATTTGATTGAGAAGGGGATAGAGGGGGCGTATGACAGTTGAGTGATGCTGCCCTTTGAGGGAGAAGGGGATAGAGGGAGACAGATGATAGATGAGTGGTGCTAACCTTTGATTGAGAAGGGGTAGAAGGGGGACATAGGACAGTTGAGTGGTGCTGACCTTTGTTTGAGAAGGGGGTAAAGGGGGCATAGGACCAGTTGCGTGATGCGGACCTTTGAGGTAGAAGGGGGTAGAGAGGGGACCTAAGACAGTTGAGTGGTACTCAACTTTGAGGCAGAAGAGAACGGAGGAGGAACATATGACAGTTGATTTGTGCTGACCTTTAATTTAGAAGGGGGTAGAGGGGGACAGAAGGCAGTTGAGTAATACTGACTTTTAGTTGAGAAGGGGGTAGAGGGGGCACATGACATTTGAGTGATGCTGACATTTGAGGAAGAAATGGGTATAGGTCGGGACATATGACAGTTGATTGGTGCTCACCTTTGAATGAGAAGGCGTAGAGGGGGGCATATGACAGTTGAGTGGTAATGACTTTTGAATTAGACGAGGGTAGAGGGGGCGTATGACAGTTGAGTGACGCTGACCTTTGAGGGAGAAGGAGGTAGAGGGGACACATATGACATTTGAGTGGTGCTGACCTTTAGTTGAGAAGGGGGTAGACGGGGCATTTGACAGTTGAGTGATATTGATCTTTGAGCGAGAAGGGGGTAGAGTGGTGACATATGACAGTTGAGTGGTGCTGACTTTGAGGGAGAAGGGGGCGGAGGGGGACATATGACAATTGAGTGGTGCTGACCTTTGGTTGAGAAGGGGTTAGAGAGGGGCATATGAAAGTTGAGTGATGCTGTCCTTTGAGAGAGAAGGGGGTAAAGGGGTGACATAGGACAGTTGAGTGATGCTGGCCTTTGATTGAGAATGGGGTAGAGGGGCGTATGACAGTTGAGTGATGCTGCTCTTTGAGGGAGAAGGGGATAGAGGGAGACAGATGATAGATGAGTGGTGCTGACCTTTGATTGAGAAGGGGTAGAAAGGGGGACGTAGGACAGTTGAGTGGTGCTTACCTTTGATTGAGAAGGGGTTAAAGGGGCATAGGACCAGTTGCGTGATGCGGTTCTTTGAGGTAGAAGGGGGTAGAGAGGGGACCTATGACAGTTGAGTGTTACTCATCTTTGAGGGAGAAGAGGGCGGAGGGGAACATATGACAGTTGATTTCTACTGACCTTTAATTTAGAAGGGGTTAGAGGGGGGCAGAAGACAGTTGAGTAATACTGACCTTTGGTTGAGAAGGGGGTAGAGGGGGCACATGACAGTTGAGTGATGCTGACATTTGAGGAAGAAGGGGGTAGAGGTCGGGACATATGACAGTTGATTGGTGCTCACCTTTGATTGAGAAGGCGTAGAGGGGGCATATGACAGTTGAGTGGTAATGACTTTTGAATTAGACGAGGGCAGAGGGGGCGTATGACAGTTGAGTGACGCTGACCTTTGAGGGAGAAGGAGGTAGAGGGGACACATATGACAATTGAGTGGTGCTGACCTTTTATTGAGAAGGGCTAGAGGGGGGCATTTGACAGTTGAGTGATATTGATCTTTGAGCGAGAAGGGGTAGATTAGTGACATATGACAGTTGAGTGGTGCTGATCTTTGAGGGAGAAGGGGGCGGAGGGGGACATATGACAATTGAGTGGTGCTGAGCTTTGGCTGAGAAGGGGTTAGAGAGGGGCATATGACAGTTGAGTGATGCTGTCCTTTGAGAGAGAAGGGGATAGAGAAGGGACAAAGGACAGTTGCGTGATGCTGACCTTTGAGGGAGAAGGGGGTAGAGGGAGTCATACGACAGTTGAGTGATGCTGACCTTTGAGGTAGAAGGGAGTAGAGAGGGGAGATACGACAGTTGAGTGGTGCTGATCTTTGAGGGAGAAGTGGGTAGAGGGGGCGTATGACAGTTGAGTGATGCTGCACTTTGAGGGAGATGGGGATAGAGGGAGACAGATGATAGATGAGTGGTGCTGACCTTTGATTGAGAAGGGGGTAGAAGGGGCATGTGACAGTTGAGTGATGCTGACCTTAAGGGGAGAAGGGGAGAGAGGGCTGACATATGACCGTTGAGTGGTGCTGACCAATGATTGAGAAGGGGGTAGAGGGGGCATATGACAGTTGAGTGAAGCTGACCTTTTAGTGAGAAGTTGGTAATAGGGGACATATGACAGTTGAGTGGTGCTGACCGTTGGTTGAGAAGGGGGTAGAGGGGGACATATGACAGTTGATTGATGCTGACCTTTGAGGGAGAAGGGGGTAGAGGGGGACATAGAACAGCTCAGTGGTGCTGACCTTTGATTGAGAACAGAGTGGAGTGGAGCATATGACAGTTGAGTGGTGCTGATCTTTGATTGAGAAGGGGGTAGAGGAGGCATATGACAGTTGAGTGATACTGACCTTGAGGGTGAAGGGGGTAGAGGGGATTTATATGACAATTGAGTGCGGCTGATCTTTGAGGAAGAAGGGGACGTAGGGGGGACATATCACAGTTGAGTGGTGCTGACTTTTGATTGAGAGCGGGGAAGAGGGGGCATATGACAGTTGAGTGGTGCTGACCTTTGAGGTAGAAGGGAGTAGAGAGGGGAAATACGACAGTTGAGTGTTGCTGATCTTTGAGCGAGAAGGGGGTAGAGTGGTGACATATGACAGTTGAGTGATGCTGACCTTTGAGGGAGAAGGGGTAGAGGGGACATAGAACAGTTGAGTGGTGCTGACCTTTGATTGAGAACGGAGTAGAGTGAGGCATAGGACAGTTGAGTGATGCTGGCCTTTGATTGAGAAGGGGTAGAGGGGGCGTATGACAGTTGAGTGATGCTGCTCTCTGAGGGAGAAGGGGATAGAGGGAGACAGATGATAGATGAGTGGTGCTGGCCTTTGATCGAGACGGGGTAGAAGGGGGGACATAGGACAGTTGAGTGGTGCTGACCTTTGATTGAGAAGGGGTTAAAGGGGGCATAGGACCAGTTGCATGGTGC